GTCCTCCTCCTGGTTTCCCTCTGGTGTGCACATATATACCATACATGTGATCAGCAGCATGGGGTTATTTAGTAGTGATTCGACCAGATGAGTGGAAGTCCTTTGTTTCTTAAGCCTTGTTAAACTTTTGTCCTATCACTTTACATTTTTGGATTTAACATCCACTTATCAGGGACACCATGTGCTGTTTGTCTCTGCTCTTGGCTTACCTCACTCAACATTTCTTCTAGCTCCATCCATTTCCCTACAAATGCCATTATTTTGTCGTTTCTAATGACTGCATAATATTCCATTGTGTATAGATACCACAATTTTTGGATCCATTCATCTGTGGTGGGACATCTGGGTTGTTTCCATATCCTGGCTATTGTGAACAGTGCTGCAATAAACATGAAGGTGCATGTGTCCTTGTATACTGGTTCCTGTTGTTCAGGATAGATGCCTAGAAGTGGTATGACTGGGTCATAAGGGAGGTCAATATTTAGCTTTCTGAGGACCCTCCAGACTGCTTTCCAAAGTGGTTGTATAAGTGTACATTCCCACCAGCAGTGTAATAGAGTTCCTCTTTCTCTGCACCCCCTCCAGCATTTGTCATTGGCTGATTTGTGGATGTGGGCCATTCTGACTGGGGTAAGGTGGTATCTCAGGGTTGTCTTTATTTGTATTTCCTTCACAACCAGGGATGGTGAACATTTCCTCATGTGTTTCTTTGCCATTTTTATCTCTTCTGAGAAGTCTCTCTTTAGTTCCCTTGCCCATTTAGTAATTGGCTTGTTAGGTTTGGGAGGGATTAGTTTCTTGAGTTCCCTGTATATACTGGATATTAATTCCTTGTCTGATATATTGCTGGTAAATATTTTTTCCCAATTAGTTGGTTGTCTTTCTAGCTTGGTTGCTAGACCTTTAGCTGTGCAGAAACTTTTAAAGATAGTCCCATTTGTCGAGTCTCTCCAATTTGTTGTGACCCTGGGACTCTGTTCAGGAAGTTCCTGCTTGTGCCTATAAGTTCAAGTGTCTCTCCTACTCTGTCCTGCAGTAGTTTCAGAGATTCAGGTTTGATGTTAAGGTCTTTAATCCATTTTGAGTTGATGTTGGTGCATGGTGATAGGCTGGGGTCCACTTTTAGTTTTCTGCATGTGACCTGCCAGTTTTCCCAGCACCAGTACTTGAAGAGGCACTATATACTTTTGAAGCAATGAACGTGTTTTACCATGAGCCTTTATTCCCCTCAGAATCCCCGCCCTGCCCTGCCCTGCCCTGCTCTGTGTGCTGCTCATGCAGCCCATCCAAGTTTTACCCTAATTCATTACTTCCCTCCATTCTCATTGGCCAGAACTTTGGCATCTATGCAAATGAGAACGGAATGACTGTGAAGTCTTTCCTTACTTGGGATAGGCTGTTTGTTCTGAGACGAGGGCAGGTTGAAGAAATATCGAAGGACGATAAAAAGGATGGCTCAGTGAACCAAAGCACAGGTGGCACTGCAGCTGGGTGCTCCGTCTTCTGAGACATCGCCCCTGGCTCTGGTTAGTACTCACGATTCATCTCAAAGGATCGGCCCTCACTGCAATCCAGACAAGTTTCCCAGAAGTGTCAGCTGTCTCCCCCTGCCTACAGAGGCAAGAGGTAGGCTTGGCTTGGGGAAAAGGGGGCTGAACACTTTTAGGGTTTGTTTTAGACCCGTGATTGTTGGAACCAGCCAGGATAAGGTCTGGGGAGTTTCCTCAGGTGATGTCTTCCTAATCTGACTAAGTGCCTTTGAGGTCCATCCCAGGGGGGAATGTAGACATCCAACCCCTTTGCCACACAAGTATGACAGTCATTTAGTTCCCGTATGGAACATTGACTCCATGGCATTCTACAATTAGTATCCTCACATCCAGTCTCCATCGAATCTGACTCGAATCCACTCTGCTCCCCTTACTGGGGTCATCTGAGGGAGCACTGGGACTGTCCTCCCCTATCAGTGCAAGATTTATGACTTGAATTTTGAGTCTACCCAGGGGGTCAGCTTCCAAGATGGAGGTCTAGGTCCCATGATCCAATCAATGGTCCATCCAGACCCCAGAGCCAAGGCTTGTCACCCATAGGACTTTGGGAGTTTCCCATCTAGGATGTAGGTCCGTAAATGACTTGACAGGCAAACTGTCACCTGGGTATGAGACTGGGTGATGTTTAATCAGAGATGCCCTCTAGAAGGCTTGATACAGAAGCAGAAGCAGGGAAATGATTTTTTTTTTTTGGCCAGTGTTGGGTCTTGAACTCTAGGCCTGGGCACTGTCTCTAAGCAATAAGTCTATGCTTTATGCATGTAACAAGTTTAAAAAAAAAAGGGAAGCATGGCACATGCCTCTAATCCCAGCAGGTATGAAAAAGTGAGTTCCAAGCCAATCTGGGCTATGTAGCAAAACCCTACTCCAGAAAACCAAGAATAAGCAAATAGAAACTTAAAGGAAAGCAAAGTTAACGCCACAATTTCCTACCAAGGGGAAGTAAATACTTGTTGCCTGTTCAAGGGCCAGCTGCCCTGCTGAACACTGAACATACAGTGTTCTGTTTAATCCCCAGCAAGCTCTAGGAGACATTTATCATCCACTGAGCTCTACCTGTCCTAGACCTTGGACAGGCTCTTAAGATGCAGACAGAAAACAAGGCAGCAGGATAAAGCGTACAGTTCAGTAAGGAGAACTCCATCTTAAAAGGGCAAAGAAAAAGGTCCTGGAAAATGCAGTCATTTAATCCCAATTCCGTGTCCAGTCATTGATCAAGCCAGGATTGAGTTGCAAATAGCTCAATTTTGTCTTCTGCATGACCAGCCCCCTCTGCTGGCTTCTTCCAGAGTGTTTCCCAAGAGCAAGGGCAGAGAGGGGTCTATGGGAGGCAGAAGCTTTTCACGCTGGTACATACCTACACATCACTTTCTTTCGTTAAGACAGCAAAGATTCATAGAGACCTGTAGACAGGGGGGTGGGGTGGGGTGGGAGTTGCTTCTATGTAGTCATGAGCAAACCCCTCCTCAGCCTGGAATGGACAGTGGGTTTTTCTCTGACCTATTCACGGAAGCAGGAGTATTCTTTTTGATAATATTATTTATTCTTTAAATAGGATATGTAACAGACACATGTAAACTCACAGGGCACAAAAATACCATACTAGCACAAGAAAAAACAAATCAGAGGAAATTGTATGATGGCGCCCATCAATAATCCCAGCACTCCAGAGCTAAGGGGGGAAAAATCCCAAGTTCAAGACCAATCTAGGCCCCATTTCAAAAAAAGAAAAACATCTGGAGGATAATAAATCTAGGCCCACAACAGAAAATCATCAGGCATTCTTAATAGAATCAATGTACCAACCTACCAGAAAGTACACTGTAGAGAAAGCAACTGCATTAACTAAGTGCATTCTTTTCCTATTGAGCCGCCTTTCCACTGACTCCTCCAAACATTACTTCATCCATTAAGGAATGAAACCTAGTTCTCAGAAGCACTCAAGCCTCCATCCATCGCCTCATTTGTCCAGCCTTCCTCAAAGCCAAAGTATCCAAGAACCCAGCTTAATGCAGGAGACCAAGCAATGACTGAGGACGTTAACGGAGTCCTAGGCCCCTGCCTACCCGAGGGCCAACCATCAGCTGAGTTGCTACTTTGAGTAATCTTTCCTGTGCCAAGTGCCTGCTTTCTGTCTCCTAAGTGTTTTCTCCCAGTCTCTGAAGATAATCCCTGGCATGCTGGTTCACAGGGACCCCACCAGCTGACACTCCCAGCAAGGAGGTAAAACATCTGTCTATGGGCTCCTGGGGGAGCCTGTGTTTCCCACCACCAGCTGACTGATCTGTGGGCAGCCACATTTCTGGAGCAGAGTCAAGTCCTTCACCTGGAGGAAAATGCTTATAAACTTACAAATCACCTCTCTCAGAGAAAGAGAACTGATGACTAGATCCTGATTGCTGGAGGTGTGTGTGTGTTGTGGAGGGTGTGTGTGTGTGTGTGTGTGTTGTGGAGCTTGAACTTGGGACCTGGTGCTCAAGGCTAGTGCTCTACCACTTGAGCCACTTCCATTTTGTTGTTGTTAATTGAAAATAAGAGTCTCTGGGGGACTTTTCTGCTTGGGCTAGCTTTGAACTGCAATCCTCAGATCTCAACCTCCTGGGTAGCTAGCATTACAGGTGTAAACCACAGGTTCCAGGCTCCAGGAGACTCTTATCTCCAATTAAGCACCAAAAATCAGGAAGTGGAGCTGTGGCTCAAGTAGTAGAGCCCTAGCCTTAAGCAAAAGAGCTCAGGGACAGAGCTCAGGCCCTGAGGGGTACAGGTTCAGGAGTGGTACAGAAAGAGAGACAGAGACAGATAGATGGACTATTGAGCTGGGCACTGGTGGCTCATGGGTATACTCTAAAAAGTTGGAAATACTTTAGAGGTGTGGCTCACGAAGTAGTCGAGCACTAGATCTGAGTGGGAAAAAAATCCCAGCATGAGGTCCTGAGTTCAAGTCCCATACCCATACAAAGACCACAGTGGAATGTTTTGTTTAGCATTGTGCTAGGGGACTCTTGAAATAAAAAAAATACAGTTGTGTGTTTTATCTTAAAAAAGAAAGTCACAGGCCTAAAACAGTGGGCTCATTCTACTAGTGCAGGGGCTCTGGAACCTTCTTGTATGCTACAATCACCCAGGGAGCTTCCAAATGTTTCCAATAGCAAGGCTGCACCCACACCAGTTAATTTCAAATCTGGATGTGAGGTCCAGGCCTTTCCATTTTTTTTTTTTCAAGTTCCCCAGGAGAATCGAATGTTCAGCTGAGGTTCAGCATCTCTGCATTGGGGAAGGTCCTGAGCTTTGTAATACCCAATCTTCAGTCTTACAAAATCCATTTGGTAGATTTACCATAATAATTATCATTATTATTTTACCATGAACCTCTTTAAAGCTGGAATCTGGAAATTAAAAATAAATTATAGGCAGGCAGAGAGATTCACATGCACACATATAAAATACATACATATATATTTTATTTAATTTATGCCCTGTTATTAGTAAGACATCAGAAAAACCTAGTGCCTTGAGACTTACATATTCTCTCAAAATCTTTAAAGCACAGAACTCTAAAAAACACACGTCAAAGATATTTAAGTAACACACACACATACACACACTAATCACTTCCAAGAACCATGATCCAATAATATATTTCATATGTAAGATCTCATTCATCACTATATCAATAAGAGAAAAAAAAACCCACATCCAAAAAAACAGTCAAACTTCTTTGATTAAGACATGTACCCTTAGCACGGGCACTTACAGTTAGAATGGTTTCTCGGTAACGCTTTGAGGTAGAATACTTGGTAAAGTTACAGAAGTCCAAGAGCTGCTAATCATTCCCTCTCTAGACAAAGGCACAGGCCTTCAGCCTCAGCCCTTGATGGAGGAAGGTGAATTTGTTTGTCTGTCTTCATTGCCATAAAATATCATTGCAAACTCACCTGGCCATCCAGCCGCCAGACTTTGGGTTTGTAGAAAACAGTAAAGGCATTTTGATGCACCTCTCCTCTTGGTGTGGGAAAACTCAAGTTAGAAAGCCAGTTTCCTCTGGACGTGCAAGAGACAGAAGATTCCAGTGGAAAGAGAGACTAGGCATCATGATATCCTTAATAATTAAATTAATTAATAGTGACTCCCTCCTGTAAGCCTGTAAGGAGGTTGATACCTCAGTATTTCCTTCACGGTCCTGGCCTTAAAAGGCCTCCCTTTCCCCAGGGTAGAATCATTGTAATATCATTAAGTTTTCTGGGATTTTCCTGGTGAAATGGCAAGAAGAGAAGCTCTTTAAAAATCCGCATACACACACAAAAACATCAACCAAAAAACCCAGGTGTAAGAGAGCAACACCAAGAACGGACTTCCTTTGTGCAAGTTAACATGACACACATTTTTCAGTTCAGGAAAATGGCCCTGCTTCTTAACAACAACAACAACAAACCCCAAAATAGGTAAATATTCAACTCAGCTCTGCATCAGAAACAGAAATATACAGTCAAGGCAGGCTAAGGATTAAAGCTGCAAACATGGTCCTAATAACTCTCAGACCTTGGTGCAGGTCAAATTTTTGCCCAATGGTCACAGATTCAAGGGATTTTCAATTCCCTAAAAGCCCTTTTCCCACATGCATCCTGTTTGATAGTTGAATCCTTTGGAGTCATCAATAGATCAATGAATAAAAATAGCACATGTCCAAGCAATAATTTTAAAAGGGCATGGGCTAGGCCTGAGTTGCCACTTCTGACTCTTCACTCAGCTTCATATAAAACCCTCAAAGGCTGCCCCAGAAACCCCCGCCCCCCTCCCCCAGACATTGCTGAAAATACCAGCCACCCATGCTAATCAACACATAGCACAACTGAGCTTCAGACTTCAAGTATCCAAAGTGCTACAGAAGCTGGTCCTCTGAAGAGCTCAGGCAGCCCCTCTAAAGCCCCCACCCCACCCCAGCATGACCCAGTATATAAAGTTTGAACACTGCTGGTGATCATTACTAAATACTGGGGTTCAAGGTGAGGAACAGGAGAACGGCTCTCTGACTATACCGGCCTTCACAAAGACAAATTCCCTAACAGTTCATACAATAACAAAGTAGGTGAACTGGTATTCAAGCAATCCCTTTGAAATCATTCTTTCCTTTCTGTATCAAACAGGGAAACAGTTCCATTGGGTTAACAGTGTCATTTAAAATGCCATAAATTAAATAAGTTAGTTCACAGTTTTGTTTTTGTTCTTTTTTTTTTCTTTCCCAGCACTTAAGTTACAGTCAATCTCTCGTGCGCTTTTGAAGCCTGCTTGAACAGTTCCAAGTCTTTCCTGTGGACACTGCTGCCCTTTGGACATTCGTAGTCCTGTAGCTGCAGTGGTATGAATTGTTCTAGCACCCCAAGGCCCTGCTCAGCAGGACTGGTAAACAGCTGAGTCCATGATGGTTTAAAATTTCCACTGAATCCCAAAAATACGGTACTTCCTAAAAAAAGAACAACAGTCATTCAATTTGTACAGCAATGGGTCCGTAGGTCATGCAGAAGGTGAATCAGAGTTGAGCAAAACAAACAGCTCTCTCTCTCTCTTCTCACCCCACAACATATATCTACATATATATATGTGTGTATATATATATATGTGTGTATATATATATGTATATATATATATATATATATATGCCCACACACACCTACATATATACACATATTTAAATATGTACTTTTTTTATGTTAGCAAACACTAACCACTCAGTGATGAATCATGTCCAACACACTTCCTTATTTAGGAGTTGTCTTCATGACACCCACCCCAAGCAAACAAGCTCACAAAAATGTGCCAGCAACTAAGTTTCACTTAAAAAATACAAGCGCTACTAGCCTCTTATGAACCTCATAGAATAACACAAACACAAACCTTTGTTATAAAGATGAGCTGGTTTGGCTAATCCCAGAGATATTAAGGAATCTGAAATGTTCAGATGCTTTATTTCTCCTCTTGTGCTTAACAGAACAACCGACCTGCAGATAAACATTAGAATACCAGTTAATTTCAGTCATTCAGCATTCTTGAGTGAGGCTAGCGGCTCACACCAATAATCTTGGCTATTCAGGAGGCTGACATTTGAGGATCAAGGTTCAAAGTCATCCCAGGCAGGAATCTTTGTGAGACTCTTCTCTCCAATGAACCAACCAAAATCTGGAAGTAGAGCTATGGTTCAAGTGGTAAAGCGCCGAGTAGAGAAGCTAAGAGACACTGCCATGAGTTCAAGCCCCAGTACCAACACAGACAAACTAGACAGATAAATTCTGCATGGTCTAAAGTTTACATTTCTTAAGAACTGCTGTCTTTTTCATAGAATAAGTCAATAAAATACTTAGACTTATGTGTATTTGTTAATTACTATGGCTGTACCGTTCCTTTCAGTGTCTGACCACACAAGTGTAATTCGCGTAAAAGCAATTTACTACTCTCCTACATTCTTCCAGCTAGACTTCAGAATCAATTGCTAAGTATGACAGGAAGCTAAGCTATTTATTTCTACTGATGGGACTGTGTTGATTTTGTATTTTAATTTAGGTAGCATCAGCTTTGCAATGTTAGCTTGCCATCCACAAAGACAGAGTCAGAGTGTCCTTCCTCTAATTCAACTCTTGCCACAAATCCTTTACTTTCTTAATGTGGGTCTTGACGTTTCTTCAGGCTAGGATCTTCAGTGTTGTGTTAGTGCAGCTCCTGGGTGTCCTCTTTCTACCCAGTGCTGACTCAATTCAGAAGCGGTGCAGAGGCCTGACCACAGCAACTCTGAGGCCTGACCTTCACTATGTCAGTCCATGTGACTATTAACAGGTCACCCTAAGCTGCAGATACATAGTCTTCGTCTCCCAAGACGTCACTGCCAGCTGCCCAGTACATTCTTAGCAGTTTTTCAAAATTCAACACATATAGAGAAAAACATTTGTTCCTAAATTTCCAATGTACAGTACTAAGCTTTTTTGCAACCTGAAGCCTCCCATACAATGAACAGCCAGATAAGAAGTACTCTTGCAAGACCCTCAAAAGGTTTTTCTTAGTCCCATTTCTAAGAATAACTTTGTTAATGAGTCGGTTTTAATTCTTTTTTTTTTATTGTGAAAATACTGTACAGAGCGGTTACAATTACATGGTTACCTTGCAAAACTATCGTTGTCTTATTTGTGGTAGAATTATAACTTGGCTATTGTTGTATATGCATATGTGTGTGTGCATTTGCATGTGAGTGTGTGTGCACGCCCGCAGATTCTGGGGCTTGAACTCAGGGCCCAGGCGCTGTGCCTGAGCTTTTTTTGTGGAAGGCTGATACTCTATTATATTATACATGATGATATAACATAACCTATATTATAATACAATATAACTATATATTATATGATAATTACATATGATTATATATACCTATTATATAATTATACATATTATATATTATAAAATATATAAAATATAAATACAATATATTTTTATATTTGTAATATATTGTATTACATATAATATTGTATTCATATAATATTGTGTGTAATAATGTATATATAACATTGTATATAATATACAGGGAATTTGGCACCAGAGTAATCTTATAGGATCTAGTTTTGTAATCTGTAAAGAATAATTTCCAGATCAACTGGAAATTATTTGGAAGCTGGGCAGTCCCTTCATTCTGGGAAGTTTACGTTCTCCTCTTGATGTTTACCCTTAGCAACTGCAGCACAGATGAAGAGCAGAAAGGGCCTCAAATGTGACCAACCTAGAGAAAGCAAGCTTTTTCTTCTGCATTTTTCTTCAGAAATCAAGTGAAAAAAACAACCTCCCCCCCAAAAAAAACCCCACACAAAACAAAACAAAACCAGCCAGAACTAGTGCTCTTTAAAGTGACCAGAAGCTGCGAGCCTGTAATCCTTGCTACTCTGGTTAGAAGCCAGCTTGGGCAGGAAAAGTCCACAAGACGCTTATGTCTAATTAACTGCCCAAACCACCTGGAAGTGGTTTGGTGGCTCGAGTGGCAGAGCGCTAGCCTTGAGCAAAAATGCTAAGGGACAGCGCCCCCAGGGGCTGAGTTCAATCCCCAGTACTAGACCCTCAGCCTTCAGCCACTTTTTCAATTAATTTTATCTGGTCATTTCTAAGTGATTGAGGTAATGGCTTCCTGAACCACAGCCATAGCACAATGCTATGTGGGCCTATTGGTGGAACAGATAGCTACAAGAGGCAAAATTACATGGAAAAAGTACTTCAAAATGGTAGTAAGTGAATGGAGTACATAGTAGATGAACTAATAATAAAAAAAAGGAGTAAATGACTTTCCTCTAACCCCGAATGTCCACAGATCAAGACTAGGATCCACAGCTTCGAGGTGACAAGGTGGTATCTGTGTGGAGGACTCCACCTTGTCAACGTGGTTTGTCCTTGGTATAGATAAGTGAACACGACATACCTTGGAGGGATGCTTGTTTTTAAATACTCTTCCATGCGACTGATATCAGCAAGAGGAAACATCTGTTTTTCTATCAACCGGAAGGGTATGCTGCACGCATCAATAACCAAGATGAAGACACCTGCACTTCGGAAGGTGAAGTCAGTGCCATTGACCTAAGAATACAAAAACAGAAACCAAAGTCTTTGGCTATCATCCTTTCAGAAGGATGACTTTTTCCAAGACGACTTTTCTTTCCAGACCCTTGTAAGCCCAGAATTGCACTTTGCCTCCCATGTCGGATAGGATGCCTCTGTCCCTCTAACATGTGGAGCACAGATTTTTTGCTGACCAGATCAGATGCTCTGAGCATGGTGTTCTGGTAAATGCACTGGACCGAGCTGGGTGATACAGCACTCAGGCCTCGGCCTTGTGCGGCACCTTCTCTGGAGGCAGAGCTCTGGGAGTCAGTTCAAGTGCAGGTCTCTGCACCACACATCCATCCATGCATTCCAATCTAACTGGAGTCACATGCTTCTATGACACACACACACAGATCATACGGTGCCCCAAAGAGAGTCGCAGCCAGCAAGTCTAGGTACGCAATCTCATAGCAGCAAAATTGCTTCATTTCTTGTGCTCCAAATATAGCAATCCTCGGACATCAAAATAGAAAAAAAAAAAGCTACATTTAGTTGAATTTAAGCTGCATTTTGCCTTGAAATAATTATGAATGCCCACAATCAGCCTCTTTTTTTTTTTTTTTGTCGGTCGTGGGGCTTGAACTCTGGGCCTGGGCGCTGTCCCTCAGCTCTTCAGCTCAAGGCGAGCGCTCTACCACTTGAGCTACAGCGCCACTTCTGGTTTTCTGGTGGTTTATTGGAGATAGGAGTCTCACGGTCTCTCCTGCCCGGGCTGGCTTTGAACCGTGATCCTCAGATCTCAGCCTCCTGAGTAGCTAGGATTACAGGCATGAGCCACCAGCGCCCGGCACAATCAGCCTCTTTAAATTAAGGCTCGAAATCTTTTCAAGAAAGAGGAACTCTAGACGCTTCCAAATATCATCAGTTTCTCAAGAAAAGAGAGAAAACAAACGCAAACTGACTAGATAGTAATCCACAGGTACACTAGGATGGAAAATCCTAACCTACATTAAGTTTTGCAAAGGACATACATGCTCTTGCACTCCACTGCTCTACTCTGGGAAAATTACACTGAAGTTTTATTTCTAACTGATGTTACTAGAATTTGCTTTTCTGTTTGTGTGATTTGGTTTTGGTGCCCGTCCTGGGACTTGAACTCAGGGTCGAGGCACTGTCCCTGAGCTTTTTTGCTCCAGGCTAGAACTCTACCACTTGGGCCGAAACTCCACGTCTGGCTTTTGGGTGGTTACTTGCAGAGTCTCATGAGTTTTCATGCTCTGGCTGGCGTTACACCTTCGTCTGCAGATCTAACCTTCTCAGCAGCTGAGGATTCCAGGCGTGAGCCACTGGCACCTGGTCAAAATTCTGTTTTTCGTTGTTGTTTGGGTTTTTTTTTTGCGGGGGGGATCATGGGTCTTGAACTCTGGGCCTGGACACTGACTTGATCTTCTTTTTGCTCAAGGCTCTATTACTTAAGCCACAGCTCCACTTTAAGAATTTACTAATTTTTAGAGCTACATTTAAATTGCTCTAATCCAAGGAGTTGTTCTGGAAGTGTCTGAGATAAATTATATATGTGGAAAAAAACTAGAAGCAATTCTCCTATTTCAAAAAATCTGAATATTGCCAGGTGCCAGTGGCTCATTACAAGCTCAGATGCCTTTAATCCTAGCTACTTCAGGAGACCTGGAAGAGCATGGTTCAAAAAAGTTTGAGTGACTCTATCTTTAATTAGCCAGCAAAAATCCAAACTGGAGATGGTTCAAGTACTAGCATAGCCAAGCAAGCAAGTTGGACAAATGAAAAGCTCTCAGTCCAAATTCTGATGCCAGGAAAAAAAAGTATTTTAAAATGGGTACACATTCAAGGTAAAATATGTAAGGATCCTCACTGCATTCAAATTATCCTTGTGAAAAGTATCCTACCCTCCTCATAATAAAAATTTGTTGGTCAAAGGAAATTAAACTTTCCGTAGAAGCCAAAGCAATGTGACATCCTAGGGAAGAGGCTGATCTTTGCAGACTTACTTATATTGGCCAAACAGTATATTCTCTAATTGTCCAATAAGTTTTTAGAACAGTGAGCCTCAGCACTTACCTGCTTCCTTCCTGCAATGAAGGCATCAAGAGGCAGAGCTAACAAATTCCATGCCCATGAAAGGACATCCTGAGCATGCCAGTCTACTCACATCTGTATTTCTATCTATTTGGGAGGCGGATATGAACAGGATTCCAGTGTGAGGCCAACCTGGGCAGAAATGGCCACAAAACCCCTTCTCGGCACCGTATCTAGGTCCAATGGTGCCCGCCTCTCCTCCCACGGTATGTGGGACACTGATATTGGGAGAATCGTGGATCTGGGATAGGCCAGGTAGAAAGTGCAGAAGATTATCTCCACAGGAGGGAAAATGGATGTGCTCACAATCCCAGCAACAACCAGAAGCACACAGAAGGCCTGTTGCCCAGGCCAGAAGGGAAACCCTAGCTCAAAAATAACAACAACAACAACAACAAAACAATGGAGGTATGGTTCCCTGGTATTGAACTAGCCTAAAGCTCAAGTCCCCGAGTTCAAAAACTGTAAGGATGATCTGAGTTTTTCACAAAATGAAGGCCTGCTAACAAAGCAATGTAGGTAGAAATACAGCCTGAGCTACAACTGGGATTACCCATCTTCACTGAATAAAATTCTGAAGCAAGGTGGCGTGATGTCTGTACTGCATACCATTGAACTGCACACTCAAAATTGGTGAAGATAGTAAATTTCATGTTATATATATCTTATGGTAATTTAAAAAATTGGGAAAGAATAGCAAAAATTATTTTTCCACACACACACACACACACACACATACATATGGATTTGTGATTATGACACACATCTCAGAAACAAAGATTGAGTTCCTAAAGACCCCAGGAGACAGGGTGTGGGCCCTGGTAGGTTATGAGGCAGATAGCTAGACATTCTTTCTTTGGTGGTATCCAGGTCACCATGGTTTTGGATCAGCTACTTCCAGAGCCCTACTTCCTAGTAGCTAACTTGGTTCAAGTCCACATTCTATTACTGACATTGAAACCTGCCAGTATGCTTCATTAATCCACTTAGAAAAGAGAACTAACCCTTGTGTCTTCACTTCAAAAGACAAAGAGATTTAGCCTTCATTTCCAGCCAGGTACCATTGGCTCATACCTGTAATCCTAGTTATTCAGGGGGCTGAGATCTGAGGATTACAGATCTACGTTAGCCAGGGAAAGGAAGACCCCGAGACTCTTATCTCAATTAACCACCAAAAAAACAGAAGTAAAGATATGGCTCAAAGTGGTAGAATGCTAGCCTTGAGCAAAAGAGCTTAAGGACAGCGTCCAGACCCTGAGTTCAAGCCTCATGACCAACCCAAAATAACAAAATAAAGCAAAACAAAACAAATCTTCATTTTCCATATTGTAAAAAAACAAAAACAAAAAAACTCGTTTTAATTCCCAAAACAAGGCTGAATGCTTTTCTATGTTAGCAACTTAATATGACAATTGTGTTCTAACCAGAGGCCTATCCTCTTACAGAAATGAAATCCTAGTCAACTGTAAAATTTACTCAGTGAAAATTAATGTGAAGGAATTTTAACATCTGCCTTAAAATAATCAGTAAACAATCCAGTGGGAAAAAAATTGTAAAATAATTTATTTAAAGAAACGAAGGTTTAGGAGGCGTGTATGTATCCATTTGTCCCTGCCAACAACGACAATACGACTAAAAACCAGTGACTAATCCAGAGCCAGTAGTTCATGCCAGAAATCCTACCCACTTGGGAGGCTGAGATCTTGGAATCCTGGTTCAAAGCCAGCCAAGGCAGGGAAGTCCCTGAGACTCCAATTAACCACCCAAAAAGCCAGAAGTGGAGCTATGGCTCAAGAGGGCTAGGCTTGAGCCCAAAAGCTCAGCGTCAGCACTTACTTGGCCCTGAGTTCAAGCCCCAGGACTGGCACAAAACCAAAATAACACAAAGAACAAAAACCAACAGTGACTACTTCTAGAGATAATTTAGATCACTAGCATGGAGATGAAAGCAAGAAATCATGGCTATGGTTTGAATGTCTGTGTGCTCACAAATTCAGAAGCTGAACCCTAAACCCCAAAGAATGTTATTAGTATGTGGACCCTTGGAGGATGTAGGGGTGAACTTCTCATAAATGGAATTGGTGTCCGCACAAACGAAGCGCAAGGAAGAGAGCTCTTGGTCCTCCTCCTGTGAGGGTCCAGAGAAGGAACTATCTAATGAAGCAGGAAACAGTCCTGCATGTCCACGTGCGCCTCGATCTTGGCCTTCTCAACCTCTAGGACTGTGGGGGGAAAAATGTTCCTCCTGCTTACATGCCACTGCCCGTGGAATTTTGTTACAGCAGCTTGAAGAGACCGAGACAGCATCAGAGAACACTTACAGAAATCAGAGACGGACTTCCACGCTGAGTTTCTGCTTTACTGGGTGACTGGAACTGCACAGGGAGGTAGGTCTTGTGAGGATCACTAGTAAACACCAGCTGCATAGGAAAAGGTTCCACAGTTACTGCGACTGCATCCGCCAATGAAAGTCTCCCTCAAGGGTATCGATGCCACCCAACCGTATTTTCCCTTCTCTGAACTTCGAATACGTATTTCGTGATGGGGAATTCCCTCTTTTAGTACATTTAATACAGGAAATGTATGGTTCTCATTTTTCTAGAATGATCTGTTTCATATAAATGCAATCTTGTTAATAAAACCAATTCAGAGGCTGGGAGTGTAACTCAGTGGTAGAGCACATGTGTAGCATGCACAAAGTCCTGGGTTCAATCCCCAGTACTCTTTCTCCCAAATGAATTCAATACATGGCTAAGTAGATGTGACCTATTTAAGCATCCATAGGCACGAATTGCTTTTTAAAGGTCCCTCTCAAGTCAATTCTGAATTGAGGCTTAATCACTTTGGTACTGAGAAAATAAATATCTGTAACCAAGGCACACACTATTTATAGAAACTTCCAGTGCCCTGCACAAGGCCAAGACCCAATTCCTCTCAGTGATATGCAAAGTATTTCAGAGTCAGACATTATATACTGCCCCCTCCCCTCTATTCTGTCACATTCAAGAGATAGGGTTGCTTCTGCCACTAACCAAAGTCCATCTGTCCTTTTAACTACAAGTAAATAGGATAGCAGATGCCTTACAATATTTTCCATCTTAAAAGAATTATGGAAGCAGTTATCAGTGGCTCATATCTATAATTCCAGCTACTCAGGAGACTTGATATCTGGAGCATCAAGGGTCAGAACCAACCCAGGAAGAAAAGCCCATGAGACTTGATCTCCAAAATAGCCAGCAAAAAGCCACGCTGTGGCATGGCTCATATCATAGTGTGCCAGCCAAGTCAGAGCACAAGGCTTAGTCCTGCTGCCCCCACCAAAAAAAAAAAAGGGAGTGGAGGGAGTTAAAGTTCATTTACACACGAGCTCCATTTTTTAAAAAGAAATTTCATACCAATAATTTTTTAAAAGCACTTTAAAAGAGCACTTTTTGACATACATAAGCCCCCAGTAGCAATACTGTAACAGAATCATAATCGTGGCGAAGAAAGAAAATGAGACCACCTTCCCAACTTGTAATTTTAAACCATGTAAAATCCATAGCCAATCTGGGCTATCGATCAGTCCTGAGCTTATAATCAAGCAGATCATACATTGGCCTGGGTCTGCTTGAGTATACATACCTCTCACACACTATGTTCAGTTCTTTACTTAAATCTGAAGTACATTGTCTATACCACAAAGATAACTGAAGTTCTTACTCTCCCTTTCTGTCCATCCAGCACATTGATAACTCTCCTTTCTTGGATGTTCCCCACACTTGTCTCCTTAAATGGTGTACTGGGGTGACCTGACATATGGAACCCCCAAGTCAGCCTTTGGCCTATGTCCATACATACACATGCATGTATACACGCTCTTCATGGGGTAAAGAAAAATCGATGGCTCACATCTAATCGACAAAATCCAGGGGCCATCTGGCCAAATGACGTGTCACAGGCAAAAGGCATTTCTGTATTGACGTATATTATTTTGATTTTTATGAGCATCATCACATTCCAGCATGGGCCAGAATTCCAAGAGATACACGTATTTATTTAGCAAATGGCAATAGAGATGTTTCAAAGAAAAGGGGTCCTATTGCCAAGAAGTCCTGCCCTTTGACCTCACCCCCCCCAGACCGCAGCCCCCTCTCCTCCTCTCCCTTGTTTACCTGGCGGGCCCCACAACCTTGGCAGGGTCCGGTGGCCATGGATAGCTTGCGTTTCGCCTCTGCTGGCTTACTATAATACTGTGGATACGCCTTGGCCATGCAATTACTGATGTCTTTTGAGTCCGTGGCTGCCTGAATCTTCACCCTTTCGCATCCCTGAGATGAACAGTAACTGTGGCCATCCCTGCGGCTTTTGGCTTTGAGATACAGAAACAATAACCTGCACGAAACAGAAAGCAGCCCAGTAAAGTGTTAGACTTCTCCTCAAAAACATACAAATCCCTCAAACCCATTCACGGTCCCCAAAAAAGACTCCATCCCAAACTAGCAAACTAGTTTCTCTTTCCTGCAAACTAGTTTCTCTTTCCTGCTAATCTTCCTAGAGTCTTAAGTCAAATGTAGGACTTCTTTAGAAAAGATGCTGATACCCCAGGTTAGTCATTTGGGAAGAGAGCAGATATAGTTTCTGGTTTAAATTGGTTCAATGGGTAATTTGAGAGGATGGAATGTCGCTTGGCTTAATGTTCTTTGTAAAACTATAGATTGGTGTTGATTTTGAGATTTAGTAAATGAATGTATGTTTTTCTTATTTTTATTGCTATTCATAAGTCACTTTGGTTAAAGACATATCTCTAGAATAATGAAACAGCAAGGCCAAGACAGTCAAATCCAATCCTGTGATGTTTTCCAAAAGCAGATGAGCATGCAGCCCATCCTCTATAATTGGACTGAAATCAGACGAATGGAAGTCCCACTCATTCTGAATCATCCTACTGCCAAAGTGAATGGAAAAACAAGTTTTAAGTCACAATCCGTTATCTCTCTGCAAACCTAGTCTTTCTAAAGGAAGTCAAGATTCTGAAGTTTTTTCTCAAGGAAATGTGACTGATGACCAGAAATCAAGAGAATTCACATTTTATGCCAAATGAAAGCCACTATTTTGTATAAGTTAGGGAAAAAAAAACCCGAATTCACATGTTAACATGAGCTCAATTAACAAGGCAAAGTTGGAAGTAAGAGGTAAAAATTCAGTCACTGTCCCAATGATCATAATTTTATCCTATATACTAAAGGAATGAAAGGGACCCGATTGGATACGGGCCTTTTGGTTACATGATTAAGATAATCGAAATGAACCGTATTAGGAAGAATTAGGATATCAGAAGCTGAGGGAGTCTTGAAATATCCAGATCATAAATATATTTCCCATCTTCATAAATGCTTAATTCATTAATGTGTGATCACCAGATTGTCCGCACTAATTTGGGAGTTTCTTTTATTTTTTTTTCTGGGCAATCAACTGGAAATGTAGAAGTCTTACTAGCTATAGAATGAAAGCCCAGGTACATTGAGTCTCACGGCAAACAAATCACAAAACAATTATAAGAAAACTTTAAGCTGATCACGGTGGTTGCTAATAATAATAGTATTACTCAAAGGTTAACCAAGCACTTAGTGACTGGACCCCAGCTTCATTTCCCTCTCTCCTCCCCCTCCCAATCAATCTTGCTGCCTTGTCCCCTGTGAACTTTTTGCTTTTTACAAACATGCCATGCGATCTTCTCCCATGCCTCCATGTGCCACCCACACTGCCCTACCTGGACACCTCACCCCTGTCTTCCTCCATCTTCTCACAGTGCCTCCGTGTTAGCTCCAGCGACACCTTTCAGAATGTCACTGGTCGCTCTAGGCTGAACTTGAGTTCTTCCCCAAAGTCTACTTATTATCTCTCTATAGGACTTAGAGCCTTTGACTCTCTCATTACTTTCTTTGCATGCTCCTATCTTCCAAAGGACTGCGAATTTGCAGAATAAATGAGAATCTTATTTACCAAGACAGTGGTAGATAGTAGGATGTTAACTTGAGGATGGAGGCTAAAGGAGCATGCTACTTGTTGGAATAGTACAGGAGAGCAAGCCTACCATAACCCACGGCTGAGAGAGACAGTAACTGGATAAAAGCAGACAAAGCCAACAGGACCCCAGGAGAACAGGATTAGAATTAAAAAGTGGAAAGATGCAGCCTAGAGAAAGTTGAAAGCAAATATGCCATGGTTATACACTGTTTTTTTTTTTTCTCTTTTTTAACTCTAGGTCAACTTTAGAGGTAACCTTAAGTCAGCAGAAGAAAAATTACCTTTCAACAAAATATGAACTATAACCTATCAAAATGATTATCTTCATAATTGTTACCAGCCCTCCCTCCAAAAAACGCCAAATTATTTCATTTTTCCATCGGGCCAACTCGCTGTTCTTGGTAAGTATCATTTTATTCTCTAAATTGCCTTCAGAGGTCAAAAGCAAACATCTTCCTTTAATTCCTACTGCTCACTATAATTACGAGTCATTCTAGCACTCTCTAACCCCCTAATAGTGACGAGGAAGGAGAATCCACATCAGCAATTACATCGTGGCCTATTCTAAGCTGTGCTGAAGAACTAGTAATTTCACCATTAAAGAAAACACAACGTGGATCCTTGTTCTCCAGGCCACTGAATTACCCTGTGCTGGAGTCGAAATAGAATTTCCTCTGGGATGGCTGTCTCTGCAGTTCTTCCATTGACTGCACCGGCTCATAGTCTTCCATTTTGGATAAGGAACCATTTTGCCGCTGCAGAAAGCCAAAGGTGACTTGAAAGCTTGTGTTAGAAGGATAGCAGAGGCCAACTCGAATCCAGTCATCCCTTCAAAGGAAAGACAATGTATCATACATATAAGGAGTTCACTCTGGAGCTAGTAGTTGTTTACTGTGACAGCATATGCAAATTTGAACCACTGACATCCTTTTTAAATTGGAGCTACCATCAGTAGATAATGGAAGCCCCGAACTTTGATATACCAACAAATCATCCATGTCACCCAAATGTTCCTTATCAATATATTTACAACAGCAATAAGACATACAAAAAACAAAAAAGACTTCAACTGGACTTGTGAAACTGAATAAAAGTGGGGTACAAAATACTTAGATGCTGGCAAGTTAAGGGTAAGCTGATATAAGCATGCTTAGATGGAAACACTAATAGCTTAGATGGAAACAAACACTAATATACAGTGGTAAAACCATTCTCAAGGATTTGTTTGGTGAGGCACCAGTGTCTCACACTTATAATGCCAGGTACTCAAAAAGTGGAGATCTGGAAAATCACAGTTCCAGACCTGCCCGGGCAGAAAAGTCAACTAGATTCCATCTCCAAAATAACCAGCAAAAAATTAAGGCTGGCAGCAAGGCTCAAGTGATGGAGTGCCAACGTTGCAAGCAAGTTAAGCAAACCTGTAGACCCGAGTTCGAACCTGAGTGCCACGCAAAACAAAATGCTCATTAACATATTTTCACTTGTTATAATGTTAATTCCTAGAACCAAAATTGCTGGATATAAGAGTATATGCTTTTTTAAATAAATCTTTTGACATGCTAGTAAATCACCATGGTATTTTTTTTCTTTATATCCTTAATCCTGAATAAAAAAACCTTTATGCTTGGGTGTAAGTAGCTCACACCTGCAATCCTAGCTACTCAGGAGGCTGAGATCTGAGCATGGCGGATCAAAGCCAGCACGGGCAAGAATGTCTGTGAGACTCTTCCAATTAGTCACCAAAAAGGTAGTTCAAGCCCCAAGACCGACCAAAAAAAAAAAAGATACTCTTAGGGGAGGAGCCCAGGGTACAATACCTCTGAACATTTAAAATACTATTTATTGAAAAGAAATCCAGGAAATTTTTTTTGTTATTGTATGTCTATGTTTGCTCCCTGACTCCATCCTGGGGCCTGAACTCTGGGCCTGGGCACTGTCCCTCAGCTCTTCAGCTCAAGGATAGAGCTCTACCACTAGAGCCACAGGGCCACTTCCAGTTTTCTGGTGTTTTATTGGAGATGAGCCTCATGGACTTTCCTGCCCAGGCTGACTTTGAACCATAATCCTCAGATCTCAGCCTCCTGAATAGCTAGGATTACAGGAGTGAGCCACCAGCACCTGACTCTTTTATAACTTTTAAAGCATTATTTTTAGGCTTGAACCATGAGAAACTCTATGACCTACTTATAATCATACTGACTTAGAAAAAAAGATTTCCGGTCTTCCTCTTCCTTCTACCAATCACGTAATTCTTACACGATCTTTTAGCTAATTACACAAGGAAAGTCTGACTATATTTCAAGCCCACGCAGAGTTCTGAAACTTCTAGGCTCACTTTTTTTTTCATATTAAAATGTTTTTACTTGCTCAGGGTTCAATGAAAAGCTTGTATGACACTTTATGGAGCTGGCCCAGAACTGACTGTAATATCTCACTTCAAACTCACGATCCAGTTCCTTATTAAGTTTTTGGAATACTGGTCATTTTTCCACATTGCTTCTCCATCCTCCCTATTTTTAATGTTTCTTTCATTAACTTTCATGCAACTGACTGGCAGGATCAGACTAGGATTTAGGAAATCTCACTGTGGATAGAATTGGACTGAGGACTGGATACAGGGGAGAACAGGGTTGGGGACAGAGCAGGAAGGGCATGGTGGTTGCTATGGGATGTAGGCAAATATGTGAATGGCCTGAAGTGAGTCACAAACAAGGCAGGAAGGACTGAAGAAAGATTTGAAGGACATGAATGAGCCAGGATCAACAGGGTTTAATTATTATTAATGGGAAGAGAGGAAAAATTCATAATCAGGAGTGAATACTGGGGGGGGGAGAGGGAGAGAGAGAGTGTGTGTGTGTGGGGGGGGTCCTGGGGCTTGAACTCAGGGCCTGGGTACTGTCCCTGAGTTTTTTTGATCAAGGCTAATATTCAACCACTTGAGTCAGCTCCATGTTTGGCTATTTTGGCAGTTACTTGGAGATTAGAGTCTCATGGACTTTCCTGCCTAGGCTGGCTTTGAACCATAATCCTCAGATCTCAGCCTCCTGATTAGCTAGGATTACAGGTTGAGCCACTGGTGCCTGAGTATGGATTTTTGACTTGGAAGACAATGTCAGTAGGTACACAGAGAAGCAATCAATGAGAAAGTCTTGGTTTAGTTAAAAGTGTGTACCAGAAACCTATTTCACCAGAGCATCTGCCACCAAGCTTGCTCATTGCTGAAAAACGACCAATTTACAAGTTCCTCTCAAGTGACAGCCAGCTGCGTATTTGAAGTGAGAACTGACAGGTCAAAAGCTTTGGGCCACTTAGGTAAATAAACCATGGCTATTTTCAGTACACATCTGAGCAGTTTCACGGAGTCCCATGAGTTAGCAGTCATAGATCTAGACTGCTTTACTTCTGCCTTTAAAATATAGCTGGAGGGCTGGGATGTAGCTCAGTGGCAAAGCGCTTGCCTAGCAAGTGCAACGTCCTGGGTTCGATCCCCAGTACCAAAAAAGAAAAGACAAAAAAAATAAAATAAAATATAGCTAGTTTGTACTATCTGTGGATTCTACATCCTCAGGTTCAACCAATTGTAGATGAAAAATATCAGGAAAAGAATTGCAATCATACCGAAAAAAAAAGGAGAGGAGCTTTTATTTCCATATTCCCTACACAACATAGTACAACAACTACTTACGTAGCTTTAACATTGTAAGCAATACGGAGATGACAAAGCACACAAGCTGATATGTGCAGGCGTTAAGTAGAATATTCCGCCATTGTATATAATAATGTAAATAGTCACAGAGTAATTTCAGGGGAAGGGGGAGCCGGAACCAGTTTCCACGTAAAGAGAGATGTCCGTAGTGCCCTCCCCCTTCCGTAATTTAACTTCCTGTTGCCTTCTCTGAGGTAACTGTGTTCTTATTCATCAAATCCATTCTTCCTAAAAAACAAGCCCTTTCTCAACACTTGGCTTTTGTAACCAGTTACAGAATCACCATTTCTTCCCTGGTTCATAGCCCTACTCCCCTGGCATGCTGGGAAAACCTGACTATATTAAACACTAAAGCATATTCAAAGCCAGGCACCAGTGGCTCACGCCTGTAATCCTAGCTACTCAGGAGGCTGAGATCTGAGGATCTTGGTTCAAAGCCAGCCTGGGCAGGAAAGTCCATGAGACTCCTATCTCCAATAAACCACTAGAAAACCAGAAGTGGCGCAATGGCTCAAGCGGTAGAGCGCTAGCCCTAAGCTGAAGAGCTGAGGGACAACGCCTAGGCCCAGAGTTCAAGCCCCACAACCAACAAAAGCAAACAAACGAACAAAAAAAATCCATATTCAAATAGAGCCTTGGGACATTATCAGAACAGACAGCTGAAAAATCAAAAAAGGGCGGAATAATGCTCTAAGGCAGGCCAGGAAATACCTGGTGTCTATGCCTCAACTCTTCTACTTCTTATGATAGTTATTACCAATCGATAATGTAATTTTCTTCTCTCAAGTCTAAAGTAAATCTCAAAAATATTTTTAAATTGTCCAAATGCTCATTTGGAAAATCTTATAAAACTTCTTCCCACCCTAGCCACAAGAAAATAAAGTACTGAGCAAACCCTATTAAAGCCTACTGTTGCTGGGCACTGGTGGCTCACATCTATAATTAGCTGTGATCTGAAGATTGCGGTTCAAAGCCCCTACCCCCTGGCAGGAAAATCTATAAGACTCTTACCTCAAATTAAACACCAAAAAAACTGGGAGAGGAGCTATAGCTCAAGTGGTATAGCACTAGCTTTGAGCAAGAAAAGCACAGGGACAGCACTCAGGCCCAGAGCTCATGCTCTGGAGAAAGAAAGAAAAAAAGAGAGAGAGAGAGAGAATAAGAGAGAGAGAGAGAGGAAGGAAGGAAGGAGGGAAGGAAGGAAGGAAGGAAGGAAGGAAGGAAGGAAGGAAGGAAAGAAGGAAGGAAGGAGAAAGAGAGAAAGGAAGAGAAAGAGAGAGAGAAAGTGAAAGAAAGAGAAAGAGAGAGAAAGAGAAAGAAAGAAAACAAAGAAAGAAAGAAATAGAAAGAGAGGGAAGGAGGGAGGGAGGGAGGGAAGGAGGGAGGGAGGGAAAGAGGAAGGAAATAAGGAAGGAAGGAAGCGAGAGAAGCGAGTTGTAAGTAATCCCATGGTTGGGGTGTAGCATGCAGTTCAGTGGAAGACCACTTGGCTGCCATGCATAAGGCTCTAGATCTGACCCCTAGCAGCACAGGAAACTAATAACCACAACAAAACCTGTTATGAGATAGCTGCTCAAACGCAATACCTCAGTCATCAAAATGACAAAGTGCTGTCAAAGTGACAAGACTGCATTTGTGCAATCTCTAAACTCCATCCACACAAAGCAACAGACGCTCCACAGGAGGAGGGAAGGGCCTGACACCAGCATCTGTGAGGCAGGAGGAAAGTCGTTCCTCAGTGAGTTCCTCGCTCAGTGACGTGCAAGGACAGGGATAAACACATACTTGTTGAAGTTGACGAGGTAAAGGAAAGTCGTCCGTGGGGCCGGCCCGTGCCAGTGGATGGTGTAGCCTTTCTCCAGCATGATGACGGGCTGGTACTGGGGGAGGATGGCCTTCTGATTGATACCCCGGAGCACCATCGGGTGGGATGGATACTCATCTCGCGTGATGGTCACACTGAGATTGGGGCTGCTCCCCGTCTGTATATAGATCTTAAAACAAGGAAATTAACAATGAAAAAGAGTAAGAGTTCCAACAGCTGAACGACACTATTCCACAGAAAGTCAAAGGTCCCTCCTCTGACAAAGAGATTCTCTGATCTGTGCCCGATTAAAGAACAGCAGCCAACCATATCCTAAGCCACACGTCCACACAATACAGTGTGCTTCAACTAGACATGGCTGAAAACAAAAAAACAGACCCTGGTTCTGCTAGCCAAGACCTTGCTCAGCAGTTCCACCACCACAGGCCAGCTTATTCATCAGAATGTAAAACTTCTGTGGTTCACACAGCTCCTCAAAGAAATCCCTCAATCTGAAGAACACATATACAAAAAAAAAAAAAAGGAAATTAATATGAAAACGGATATCCCTCCCTTCAAATCAAAGAGACTTTCCTCTACACCAACAGAGGAAATTTTATATATCTTGAGCTACAGCTTTTCATTTTCCATGACCTACTCTAACCCAAGAAGTCATTTTTCACTCACTCATTCAAAAAAAAAAAAGTTATATAGCAGTCTGCAGCAACTGGAAAAACATGTTAAGCTGAGACAAATTTGAAAGTCCTGAATTTATTCCAGTGGCATTTGAGCCTCTTTCCATGCCAAAACAAAACCTTCCCCAGATGCATGCGATCGTTAAGACAAACTTCAACTCATGTCCTGAGACCAATCAGTACCCAGGAACTAAATTCTCCCGGAGAATTAAAACATTCACTGAGTGTTGACATTTAATCTAGACTACTTCAGAACTTCTCTCTGTGTTTTCTTCCTCTTTTGTGTTTGACACCATTTACAGACTGAAAATAAAGAAAGGAATCACACTTTCACACTATTTAAATACACAGTTACTATAGGCTTTCCTAGAACAAGATTTTCTGTGAGAGAAGAGACACTCGGGCATCTTGGGCTCCTGACCCTGATGGAGGAGGATCTGAGCTGTGCTTGGCTGAGTAAGGAAAGGCCAAGCCCAGAGGACACACCACAGCACTGGTCTTTTCCTGAGGAGGCCACACAACACAGAAGGGCCTCCAACTCCTGCCTCAGCCTCCTGAGTGCTGGCAGGGACAGTCGGCACAAAGCATCACACCCTCTTTACCTGTCTGTTGCTAAATCTGACCTTTCATGGTCTAGAATACTGGCCCAAAAGCTCTGTACCGTCAACGTTCTGAGCAACCAGTGCTCTGCTTTACGATCTCTCCCATCGATCCCACTCTCCCTACTTTGTGATTCCTCAACTAGGAGCAGCTACTTCACCAGGTCCCTGACCTTCAAGCTCAATGCTTTCTATAAATGCATTCAATGACCACTGCAGCCTCAGACGGAAGGAACTCTCACGGATCCAAATTACACCTGGGAACAGAGTCCTTTTAACTTGCTCAATTCACACCCTAGGTAATAAGAACACTAGATCCAAACCCAGCCACTCTGGGCTTCGTAGTCCTTGATCCTAACTATTCAGACTAACTTACAAATGAGCCTCCTGGACTAGGTATTCAGTTGAACTACACACTAGTGTAGTAACTTCAGAGACTGTTTCCAAGTCTCTGCCATCTCCTTCTGATCGTCACAGAGACATTATATCCTAAGACAATGTTAAGAAATCCCACGGGTTCCTTCCTAGTCTCCTCATTTCTAATTCCAGGCTCCAATTCTGGGCTGTCTCTGAAATCAAACTCCCTCATTAAGGAACCATAATGATCCGAAAGAGGATAAAACTCCCTCCCAGTGCAGAGAGCTGGACTGTGGCAAGAAGACTAGAGTGGAGATCACCTCACTCCTCCGTGATTCATTTTCTCACCTATTAAGTTGTTTGGGGAAGCCGTCAACTAAGTACTTTTTTCCCCCTTTCCTTGGCCTTCCTTTCTTTCCTTCCTCCCTTCCCCTACTATTCCCCCCCCTTTGCTGTTTTGTTCTTTCCTCTGAGCACCTTAAGAAGCTATAGAAGCCTCACCGAAGAAAGGCTGCCGGAGTCAGAGGGGCTCAGTATGAGGCCGCATGCTGGACCTACCTGGGCGTAGTTCCCACTGCAGACCACCGCATTCCACTTGGTGACGTTGACGCAGCTCGGATGGCGGATCAGGTAGTTGTCCATCCTTCCCACATAGGAGTCCTTGTACCCTGTGACAGAGCCATCGATGTCATGGAATATGGAGTTCTTATCGCCATCCAGCTCGCAGTCTTCAAACCATGGGCCAGGCTTGCCAAAGAACACATTCAGAGAAACCTAACGGTGGTGAAAAACAAGCAAACAAACAAACAAAAAACAGAAAATGAGGGCTCCTGCTAACACACCAGCCCTACAACAAGATAATAGCTTTTCAGTTAAAGCGGTTTGGTTTGGTGGCATGCTTCACTGTGGCCAACTATGATATCTAGTCGCTCCCTACATAATTAATGACGAGCTTGGAAAACAAAACTTTTGAAAACCCAGTGAAGCTCAACCGGAAATGTTCAGTCCCTTTATTTATTTATTTACTGCTTTGCTCTGATTAATCTGTGATAATTGAAGATTGAGGTTTGAAACTAGCCTAGGCAGATAAATGTAGACACTTATTTTCAGTAAGCCATTTCAGAACTGCATCCATCTTCCTTCTTTCTTCTTAGCTATCACGAATTATTACAGAAATGGAGGTGAGGCTCAAGTGGTTGAGTACCAGCCTTGAGCTAAGTAGCCAAGTGAGAGTATCTCAAAATTGGTGTGCGCACACACCCACCCACACACACACTCACACACACACACACGCGCGCGCGCACACTCACACATCCCTCTTCTATCTTCATTCCCAATTATTTTATCCTTTAATTCCCCAGAACTCAGGCAAATAAAATATCAAGAAGGAACCAAATTTCTAAGTGAAGATGAGACACCTCATCCATTTATTTTACTGAACTTCCCAATCCTATGTCCTCTTGTTCCTGCGACACTGACAGTCCCCCTGTTCTTAAGTCATTTTCATGTTCAAGGCATTGATTGACTGCATGTAAAAAATAACCCAAATCAGAGAGTTAGCACACAGGATAGCATGCACTGGTTTAGGAACTCCTTTAATACATATTTTTCTTTCCCATCATGGAGATTCTCTGCGAACCTGATACAGGCAGCTCAAGCTTGTAATCTTAACTACTAAGAAGGCTGAGAGCTAAGGACTGCAGTTTGAAGCCAACCGAGGCAGGAAAGTCTGTGAGATACTTATCTCCAATTAAGCAACAAATAAACCAGAAGTGGAGCTGTGGTTCAGTTGGTAGGGTGCCAGCCTTGAGCCAAAAAAAACTCAGGGACAGTGCCTAGGCCAAGCCCCAGTACTCTATCAGCCTCCCTTCCCCCCAAAGAGAGATTCCATGCAAATCTTAGTTTGTCTTTAGAAATACAATGCATGGGTCTCCTTCTTTCCCTACCTCCTACCATCTCTGTGTAAGAGCCATGAGGTCACACTTACATGTGGGCCAAATTTCACAAGAGAAACGTTATTCTTGGGGGTCGTCTGCCAGGAGTTCTTCATGAGGAAGCCAATCGCGCTGCTGTACCTATCTACCGTTGGCACATATTTTTTGAAAGTACTTCTGGTGAGATGAATGGGCCCATCATAAATCTGAAAGCCTCTAATAGGGAATGTCCTGTTAAAATACACGGTTTTGTTTAACGCACACAGACCGGTCTCCTTAATAGCATTTGTTTCATAACTACTGTTAGATGACCTTTAAACAATAAGCAAAATACCAAAACATAGTGATCACCAAAGCAAGATCCTTGATGGGATGAAATATATAGTGTGAAAGATGAAAAAGGGTAAATTCAGATCATGAATGCTATAGAGATAGCACAGCACATAACACAATAGAGTTTGGCTTCCTAACTCAACTCAGTTAGATGTTTTATTTGGAGTTAGAAGTATCGAGTAGAGGTGGAGCCTAGTATACATTACCAAAAAAAAAAAAAAAAGTTCTATCTGATCATTCGTTCTTTAGCTCCAAAATCTCAAGCCAAGAAAACAAAAGACAAATCTGTGCTTCTGTGCTTACACAGAAAGAACCTTTTGTTTTTCTAAGAAGAGACAGTGAAAAAAAAAAAGTGAAATGATAAATCTTAAAAGTCTAAAAGCATAAGTCCTCATGGCATCTCTAATTAGCCAGCAAAAATCTGGAAGTGGAAGTGTGATTCAAGTGATAGAGCTCTAGCCTTGAGTGAACAATGTAAGCAAGAGCTTGAGCCTCTTGAGTTCAAGTCCCAGAACTGCCAGAGAGAGTGGGGGGTGGGGGGAAATGCCAGAATTTCACTGCATCCATTTTCCTTCTTCTTAACTATCATAAATTAATTAGAATTAATGTGAAAATCCTACCATAGTCTGAATTTCTTGGGTTTCTTCTTTGCCTATTAAAATGTTTAATGGTTTTCAGAGGATTTGTACAGTAACTATTTTGTTTACAACTTGGAAATGTTTTACAGTAAAAGCAACTAGCAAGAAACCAAACTGCCTGGCAGAAAAAAAAAAAAAAAACCTATGTACCATATAAATCAAAATGTTTTTACTTACTCTCTTGGAAAAGATGGTAAAGAGTTAGTATAACAAAGACTGGACCCATTAATCAATGAGAAAGTTTTGTCTCAGAAAACTGTCCTTAGCAAGGGAACAATAAGAACTTTGAAATAAAACTGGAGGTAAATGCAAAATAAAAGGAAGAGAACGGAATTGGCCAGTATCATACCATACCTATATAACTTTACTTTTTTGCTTAGTTTTCTCTTCTTTAAATCTACCTACAGAAATAGAAGAGAGACTACAGCACAACTCTAAAAACACAGCATAAGCCATACTCAAGCCTATAATCCTAACTACTTGCAAGATGGAGATCCAGCAATCACAGCTCAAGGGCAGGCTGGGTATTAATTAAAGTTCATGAGCTTCCATCTCAATGTCTTACCCATGTACAGTGGCACATGCCTGTCATTTCAGCTACAGAGGAAGCGCAAGTAAGATCCCAATCTAGTCTGGCCTGGTCATAAAGTGACACCTTACCTTAAAAATAACCAACACAAAAAAATCAAGGCTGTGTGACTCAAGTGGAAGAGTCCATGCCCAGTAATTACGAGGCTCTGAGTCTAATCCTGAGATCCACAGAAACAAGCTAACAAAATCCAGCTCAGCATTGAAGCCAAACTAAGCCAAACTACTTTTAATACATCAACTCATTTGTAAACCAGAAGATGACTGTGCACACCTTTACGGTGCTTTGTGAAGATTAGATAAATATAAAATATATGGAAGAGGGTCTGTTATCATAAGTATTAACTACTATAAACTTCTGAATTAGGGCTGAGGGTATAGTTTAGTGGTAAAGGACTTGTCTGCTATGCATGAGGCTCTGAGTTCAATCCTCAGCACCACCAACAAAGACAAGACATTCATGAAATTCTTTTTCTAGCAGCTTCTACAGCCCAACAGGGGTTTCTCTATCGAGAGTAGATATTGCTCACTATTCCACAATGACAAGTACAAGGGCAGAAAAATCAATCATAGGTAATCTTCAGTTTGAAAGCAGTACCTTTCCCGTTCCCCCATTTAGTCTCAGGCCGAGGATCTTAGGTGGCATTCCCTCACTAAGCTGATTCTTGACGAACTGGGCAATGGGCTCAGAAGTGGTCTTTAGCATATGATCTTTCTCTACCTGGTTTTCTCATAAGTAACACGAGCACAAACTCAAACTGGGTCTCTGAACTGAGGTATGGGTTGATTAGTTCCCTAAAAGCTTTGAAGAAGCTTTCCAGTGCTAAGGGACTGTTTTCATGCTTCTGATGATGATGACAGAAAACATACCGACAGCAATCCCTTCCTCCACCACAACCGCAAACACTATTAACCGCACAGCCCTAGTAGGTTTTGAGCCAGCTTTGGCATCAACCAACTCTCATTTTCTAGGACTCTTTTTCAGTAGGTAATTTTCTTTTTCTAGTGCCTATTTCTGAAAACCAACAACCTAGATTGAGGGAAAACAGACCTAATGTCATAGTCTATGGTTTGGTAACTCTCTCTAGGCCTCAAGAAAGCAGAAAACCACCAGCTTATGTAAGCTCTTATGTAAGTAATCAGAGACAAGGATGGCTTCTTGGTTGATGATGGGATCCATGGAATGGATAATTATGAATGCTCCAAAGTTCCAAGAGGATAGCACACACACACACACACAACAATGATACGAATGAGAAGATAGGATGAGAGTCACGATAGGAGGAGGCAATCTATTCAGGATGATTATGGAACCTTCCCTAAGAATTAATTTTCCCTTTTATTAACTTTCACTCACATAGTGCCAAAGTAATGCTCACCTGTTTCTAGGTAATGTCCGAGGCTTCTGGTCAAGTCCTCCAGTGCCCATATATTTGTTCTGACCACCCTGAGATCCCAAATTCCTGCTTTCTCCAACAAAGAGCGATTCAGACACCTCCTGGCTAGAGCCTTCATCACTAGGGAAGCTTCCATCACTGTTAAGAGGAGGACATTCATTAGACAGACTTCCTCAGGAAACCTTAAACTTAATCTCCAAAAGGAAGGCAAGCTACAACGTAGAAACACCTAAGAAGCCGGGCACAGGTGGCTCACATCTGTAATCCTAGCATCTCAGGAAGTTGAGATCTGAGGATTACGGTTTGAAGTCAGCCCGCACTGAAAAGTCTATGAGACTTTTATCTTCCCCCCCCCCAAAAAAAAGCCAGAAGTGGTGCTGTAACTCAAGTGGGCAAGAGTTAGCCTGGAACAAAAAGAAGCTCAGGGGATACCTGGCTCTGAGTTCAAGCCTCAGGATTGGCAAATAAATAAATAAATAAAATCTAAGGATTATTTAAAATCCAGTACCTTTTCCTAATACATATTCTCAAGTCCTGGAAAATTTAAGCTGTGAAAATATCTTCTATAAATGAACGTACAGCTTGAAAATTACATAGACACAAATGAAATTTAAGTTAGGAGCAACAACTGTTTAGTCTTAAGCAATAATATGGTAAATGATAATGAACTCGCCCAGTATACAACAATTAACTGACAGATACAGCCAACTGGAAGATTTTTTTTTTTTAATGCAGAGAAAATATAACATGAGAAGTTTAGTTCTTAAAGATGACTGTGAAATTAAAACAGCTTCTAAGAAGAAAAACTGTTGGTTTTTAATCTTTATCCTATGATTCTCTTTTTCTTTTAACCCCATACTTTTTATTTTGGTGCTGGGATTGGGATCTGAGCTCAGGTCTTGTGTCCTTTTTTTTCTGAGGGATTGTTTGTTTGTTTTTTGTTTTGCCAGTCCTGTAGCTTGAACTCAGGGGCTGGGCACTGTCCCTGAGCCTCTGTGTTCAAGGCTAATGCTCTATCACTTGAGCCACAGCATCACTTCTGGCTTCTTCTGTTTATGTGATACTGAAGAATGGAACCCAGGGCTTCATGCATGCCAGGCAAGCACTCTACCACTGAGCCACATTCCCAGCCCATGTCTTGTGTTCCTGCCTAGTTTTTCACTCAAGGCTGACACTCTACCACTCGGCCCATACCTCCAGCTATTTGCTGGCTAATTAGAAATAAAAAGATTTGTCTGCAAGGGCTGTCTTTAAACAGTGATACTGAGATCTCAGCATCCTAAGTAGCTATGACTAAAGGTGTGAGCCAGTGGCACCCTGATAAGCCCTTACTTTTTTTTTTTTGGGTCCGGTTGTGGGACCTGAACTCTGGGCCTGGGCGCTGTCCCTCAGCTCTTCAGCTCAAGGCTAGCGCTCTACCACTTGAGCCACAGCGTCACTTCCGGCTTTTTTTCTTTTTGCTTATGTGGTGCTGAGGAATCGAACCCAGGGCCTTGAGCATGCAAGGCAAGCGCTCTACCACTGAGCCACCTTCCCAGCCCCAAGCCCTTACTTTTTAAAAACTTTACATATCAAGTGTCTTCTAGGCAAAATTTATGATTGGTCCACTCTTCTATGGATTTCCCGTTACATTAACCAGAACTGGCGCTGTAGCTCAAGTGGTAGAGCACTAGCCTTGAGCTGAAGAGCTGAGGGACAGTGCCTAGGCCCAGAGTTCAAGCCCCACAACTGACAAAAAAAAAAAAAAAATTGCCAGTTATATTAACCCACTACTTTGGTATGAATTCAATTCATCAATCAACATGGATTTTGGGCCCTCTAGTGGTATCAAAAAGATGATGCTAAAAAAGTTTTAAGGCTAATAAATCATAAAAACATCCCTGTGGGTTATTCTCCTCCACCCTAAAAATCAAAGCCAATTTTGTACCTTTAAAATGATCAAAGAAGTATTTTTAAGCAATTACAAACCTGGCAAATGTCAATCCTATTCCATTGTCTGCAAACCTGTAAGATAAAAGAGAATGTGAGATCACCAGAATTCACTCATCACACAAAAGGTAATTCTCTCTTTGCAGAATGATAAAATCCAGGCAGTCCCACAGTATCCTCTCTCGAAGCTCCCAACAGTTCAGCTTCATGCATGGTAAAGCACACACTGCACAGGTTCAAATCCTGATTCTGCCAGTTACTAGCTATGTAACCTTGGGCAAGTTACTCCAACTCTTTCTCCCCCAGTTTTCTCATCTGTAAGCTGAAATAACTATCCAGATAATTTCCAAATAATTTCAATGCCTAACAACCAGAAGGCAGTATATAAATGTTGCTAAAATTATTGTTTTTTATAATCATTTAAATAGACAAGTAGATCATGGTAGTCACTTCAAAACTTTTCCGTATGATAGCTAAACCACTTAAACAAATATCACTATCAATTTCTAGATAATCAAAGCCAAACACAATAGCAAAATACCAAGAAGCTAATGGTTAGTGGAAGAAAAACATCAAAACCTTTCTTCCCGGCTGTTGAACACCAAATCTTAGTTCAACATGTATCAGGCCTCTCTTAAAAGCATACAAGTAGGGGGAATAAAAACAGAAGGCACTTCCTGCCTGCAGTCAGGGTAAGACCTAAGTCAACACTCACTAAGGTAGAATTGCACAGCTTTTGTTTTGAATGGCAAGGTAAGAAGATTAGAAAAACTTGAAGGAGTTTCCAAAAGGAAAGAAGAAAAAAAGAAAAAAAGGTAGTTCCAAAGATTTTTACTGAGCTCTGTGACAGACAGCATGTGTGTTCTATAAAGTTAAATTCCTAGTTTCTGTACAATCTCATTAAAAAGCAGTCTAGGGAACTTGTCCCTAGACAAGTTCCATTCCAATGAAAGCAACAGAATGAGACAATTCTGAACATTTGCGGTCTGTTAATTCTAGCATACTTCCTCAGAGCTCATCCTGTCTATTAGGAATAATAATAAATCAATTCCAGGAACCACCACTGTACTCTCATTCCTCTGCGTTTCAAAAAAAAATAATTCCTTAAAAATAAACACACCAGTGTCATGAGGTAATAATTCTGTGGAGAATACGCACGCTGAATTCTGAACGATTATGTCTCCTCCTCTGATCCAGGCTCCCTTGTCGTTATTTTTAAATGCAATGAGCCTGTCAATTATAGCAGCAACACGAGGCTTTTCAGGATCTGCATCTTGATGAGGTCGAAATCTAAGGAGTAGGGAAGGTTTAAAAAAACAAAACAACATTTTAAAAGCGAGATTAAAAAAAACAAACAAAAAGGAAGCAAAATTGGCTACTTAAAAGCAGAAACACACCATACAAAATTTAAATTTGGCCAAAACAAACAAAAAAAACCTTAAAGGACAACATAATCATTCATATTTCAAATATTCCAAGAAAAGAGTGACATTTATTTATATGTAAGTTTTCCAAGAAATGCTTTCATATCTTCCCTTTTTTTGTTCTTTTTTGTTTGTTTTTTGTTGGTCATGGGGCTTGAACTCTGGGCCTGGGCACTGTCCCTCAGCTCTTCAGCTCAAGGTTAGCGCTCTACCACTTGAGCTACAGCGCCACTTCCAGTTTTCTGGTGGTTAATTGGAGATAAGAGTGTCACGGACTTTCTTCACCAGGCTGGCTTTGAACTGAGATCCTCAGATCTTAGCCTCCTGAGTAGCTAGGATTACAGAAATGAGCCATCAGCGCCCAGCTTCTTCTTACATTTTTAAACAATCCACTTTTCAGGTGGCTACTTCAGAACATTATAAAGACAAAATTCATTTTGTTTTTTAAAAATACACATTAGGAAGTGGCACTGTAGCACAAGTGGTAGAGCGCTCGCCTTGAGCTGAAGAGCTGAGGGACAGTGCCCAGGCCCAGAGTTCAAGCCCCACGACCGACAAAAAAAAAAGTTTTTCCCTCCTGGGTGCTAAGGAAAACAGACTAGTGGGCTTGTAGTCCCCTCCGACTGCCCGTCACTGGTGCAGAAGTGACTTAGACCTTGGAGTGACCTT